TGACGAATTATAAGGCGTTGGTGGTTCTGGGAAGAATCGTACAAACTGGAATTTATGGTCGTAAAGCAAATTATCTCTTAGGAAAAGCGATGATTGATGAAGCTCATAATATGGAAATGATAAGTAGAAAATTAAGTCCTATTTAGTTTCATCATCGTAGAAAAGTTATATGGTTTATTTATTGATTTCCAGTCAGCTGTATTATTCGTGAATAACATATTTCATTTATTTTAAAAAAAAAAATGAAAGGAAAACTGAATGTCTCTTTTCAAAAAAAAAAAAATTGTAATATTGACATAATTAGTTTATCAATATCTAACAATTATCATTTGTATTTCTTGTATTATAAATATCATCAATAGTATTGTAAAATTTCAATTATTATAAATAAAAAATTTACTTTTGAAAGTTATTTAACTCGAACTTTGTTTGCCTTAAAGTTTAAGTACGTGTGTTTATTTGATAACAGTTTGCCCTAAGAAACGAATAATTTTACAGGTAATTATCAATACTAAAGATGAAAATTCTTTACAAGATTAGAATACAAAATTAGTTTAGTTTTGTGTTTTATTCTATAGTGTTTCTGATATAAAAGAATATAAAAGAAGGGATTCGGCCTTACTTCATCGACGGTCATTTTCACCGACAACTCATTTAGCCGAAATCACGCAAAGTGACAATTTACTAACAATATATACAGTTCCTACAATTAATCAAACGCCCTGTAAGAAATTTTTATCCGAATATTTCCATATTTTTTTGAAAACTCCGTGAATCTGCAACATGATCAACAAAATCTAGACAAACCCGATTTACCGTTACTAATTTAAGGTTATAAATTCCGGGAATATGCATATAAAACTGTAAAACTAGTTTTATAGGAGCTAACCCTAACCATATGTGGTGTCAGTTAAATGAGCTTTCGGTGAAATGATTGTGAGTGGAGTGAGCAGCACTGAAAGAAAAATAATGATTTGTATCGTTAAGCACCGATTATCTTTTTCTTTGGCTAATATATGTTTTTCAGTATTAATTCAATGGATTTACGAGCCAGAAAAGTAAAGTTCATATTTTCATTATTATTAAGAAAAATTCTAAAGATAAATAAGTGATTTTTTTCTTAAGTCAGTATGGAAATTACTTATTGGGATGGAACGGAAATATCGACGATCCCCTGTAGAATTTTAATCAGCAATCCGATCATTGAATAAAAATATTAATAAGCTGATTAATGGTTCGATTTATTGAAATTTATGATAAAATGCAAAAGCACAGAAGAATTTATACGCCCAAGCAAAAGACCGCAAGAAATTATGCTACAGTAGAAGATTATTTTTAAATGGCGCTTGAAAGTTATCGAAACAATGATTCAACAAAAAGGTAAACGCAAATAACAAAATTCTATTAGTGAAAAAGAAAATGCAGACCAAAATGACGAACAGACAAATAATCTTATGTTTAAATATAATATATATTGAATTTATTTACTACATTCTCATTACTGTATAAATTCATAAGATGTTACTTTTTTAAAAAAATCAAAATATTTTGTCATTATTCGCCTGCCAGCTTATCGTAATCTTTTATAATTCTTTTTTTAATTTTAATACACCCGTATGTATAATACCCCAACCATATTCTCCAGTACAGGAACAGATTGTTCTTCTAGAAACAGGAGAGATGCAAAAAAGCTGGACATCATGGAGTGTAGCATGGCATGAAGAAGAAGCGAACTAAACGTGAAAAACGAAAACAGCAAATTTTAAATTGTTTGATTATCACGTTTGCAAAAAGGGACGAAATTGACAAAAACAAAGATCTTCAGAAAAGAAAATGTTGTTAAATCTTATAACAAATCATAAGAAAATACAACCTTTAAGAAGCTATATTGCAAAATTTTATTAACACATCTGCTTTTGTGCCTTAAGTGAAAATGATTTTAAATTGATTTATGTAAAAAAACATCTTTAAAAAAATTGTCAATTTCGTCCCTTTTCGTAGCACCTAGCCCACATGATCACTAAGAAAATTCTTTGTTTATTCATTTAGCATCAATATAAAAAATTCAGATTTAAAGTTGAGCACATATTTTTTAAATTTTACAGTATGTGCACTATTACTATATATAATCCTGGTTGTTGTAATCAAATGAATATGGTGCCAAAAAAGAATAAATACAACAGTCAGGAATTTTTAGATAGCGATTATATCGGCAGAGTGTATAACCTTGAGGTTCAGTGAATGAAAGTATTAAAACACCCATATATGCGTTATTAAAGACGTCATACAAATTTCAATAACGATGGGTCAATAACGATGTAACGATGTACTGTTTTTTTATGGGTCAATAACGATGACCCAAATGGGTCAATATCAGTGTCTTAAAAAAAAAATACGGATGTGTTTATGTCAGGAAATAATTAAATATCCATTTTTCCTTTATTTATAATTTTAATTTCAAAGTAAAATATCCCACACTGTGAAGGAATAGGATGATTTTCTCGAATTATAACAACTTTATTACCAACAGAATCTTTAGAAAGTTTTTTTTAAAAAATAAAATTAACAGCTATGAATTATTCTTGAGTTAAACAAACTGAGATGTAAATCCAACCTATATAGTACGTTTCTCTTTCTCATTTTTTTTTACCAATATAATTCACTTGAATCTATGCTAATAGATGGTGAACTATTTTCAATTATCCCATGCACTCGGTAAAACAATATCACTGAATGGAGTTTGTAATTATAAATATTCCATTGAGTTAAAATTCTTTCGGGCTTTTGTTTAGACGATTAGTAAACCGTGAGCACAAGTATTCATTGTCGAGCACTAGCCAAAGTGATTATCGATAACTCATCAATATTAAAGGTTGACAGAAAAATATAAAAATGATAGAGACAACAAGTATCCATAAGCTAAAATGTTAGAAAAATTAATATTTTTTAAATCTTTCAATTGCTACAAATAATAAATATACTCGTAAAGAGGATAAAGGTAATCTGATTTCATTTTAAATGCTATCTAATAGACTGTTACCTATTCGAAATATATTAAAAAGCTTTACTATTTTAAAAAATTTCTAATACAATAAAAGCTTTGATTAAACGACTATTTATAAACACAAAAACCAACTCTACAAATAAAAACTTTAAATGTTAAAAAATTTAAATTGATCTTGAACGTATTTTAAATTGCACAACAAAATTGGATTTCGGCATCCAAAACTAATAATTTCGCAAATGAAATAATTAGTGTAATATAAAATATGCTACAGGACTTATAAAAATACGGCATAATATTAGTTTAAAACTTTCGACGTTCGTCCCTCACAATAATAATTGAAAGCAACATATTATAGTTGTGCAGTAAAATAAAAATTCAGATGTCCATGAATTAGAATCAATATACAGATATATCACGGTCATCCAAATTTTGGTCGGATAATCAAAATATAAATCCTAGTATACGTGCGTACATACATAGATGTTTTACTGCGGAAATTCGAATTCGGATTATCGTGAGTCAACCAGTATTCACATAGTAAATAACGAAATTAGTATCGAATTCTGGAATTGTGATTTTTGAATTAATTCTAAGATTGCAAATACTTAATCATACTAAATATTTCATCCATGCCACTTAATCCTGTCCAATTCAATTCAATTAATTTTTGGTAATGTTCATGTCTTCACAGTACTGTGTAAATGATTCGAGATTTGCATAGTTGTCTATGATCTTGGTCAGTATAGCCTTATAATCTGTCATAGATCATTAAATTTTCGTTAGATTTTAATTAGAATCGAAAATCTTAATTGATTAGAAAGTGCAATTTACCGTTTTTCTATTGAAGCAATTTTGGAATTTACCGATCTCTATTACGTATTCCACTTGGTATTTTCTCTCAAATAACAAACAATTGCTGCATAACTAACAATTAATTACATGAGGACTCGACTTTGAAGAAAGTTGGGATTAGAGTAAAATTACGAGAGGAATTTTTTATTATTAACAATACAACAGGAGGTTGCATAGTAAAATTTTGAGATATTTACTAATCCTTTTTTTAAAATTTATATATGCGAAGGTTATATAAATATATAATATTTATATAATCCTTTTGAAATTATATTTATATAAGCCTAATTAACTTTTTATATAAATTCTATATTAAATGATATATAAAAAATTAACATCTATAATTTTTATAATGTATTCTATAATGTATTCTATAATGTATTCTATAATGTATTCTATAATGTATTCTACTGTATAATGTATTCTATAATGTATTCTATATAATAAATGTAGATTTTATAAAAAATCTGTCTATAATATTTATCGTTTTCTTTTGCTGAACTTGCGTTATTTTCATCACTTTGTCGTTTTTTAGACTTTTTCAAAATTTCTTCTGATCTTTGCTGCCTTTTAATTCCTAAATTAATTTCCAGCGCATATTGGGTGATTCCATTGGCCCATTCTGGAATCCCTCCTCGATATTCCTCATCTTTTGCTATTTTAAATTTCTGTTGAGGAAAAGTTTCAAAGATTTCAGGAGGAACGACAAAGTACATATCAATGTTTTTAATATCTTTTCTCCACGGAAGAAAACGATCTACATCCTTAAGACCTTTCAACTATAAAATTTGAGATAACAATTTTAGAAAATTATTCAATTATCTGGCAACTAACTATGATTTGTCTGCCAAATAAATTAATTATTCGATAGAAACTATATAGTTACTGAATAATAAAATTGTTATTAGGCATATTATCGTCTTAAGTTACCAGATAAACCCATTATCGGTCATGCAGATGCCTTATAACTTAATTATTTGATTCAAAGTTTAAAATTAGCCTAAGAAGTTGAATTCCGAAGGAATTTAATTTTTTAATCTGATTTTAAATCTTTGGCCAAATAATAAGTTATTAGCAATGCCTGCCTGATAACTATTAATATATTTATTATTCTTTACCTTTATTCCATGGTCTTGTGATACAGTTATTTGGTATAATACTAAAGTCTCATTATTAAGACTAAAAGAGTCTATGGAAGCGAATGTTTTTGATATAGGTCTATTATAAGACTCTTTACGGGCCTTGTTTAATACATAAACCAATTACATTCTAACTCTTTTAAATCTA